TTTTTTTTGTACTGTAGACCACCTGATAAGGATTAGATTTAGAAAAGAATAATGCACATTCTTGGTGGGGGTTTTTTTGGGGCGTGTTACGGTTGTAACATGTTTTTGATTTGTGGTAGCTCAGGAGTAAAGGTGAGAAGAGTGTAGCACAGACGGTGAAAAGCTGAGGAAATTGATTTGCAGCTGTGTTTACTTTTAGGTAAACCAAAACAGGGAATCTTTCATATGGCCCTTAATCTTGTGAGTAGATGGCTGAGGAGTGTCAGGATGTTATTAATATTGCATCAAAATAAATTATGGCATTAAAACCAACAATCGTCACTGTCTGAGAACATTTACACTCATGGAGATTCACATCAACTTTTTTTGGATTAAAGCTCTAAAACACCTGGGGGGAGTCTGGACCTGTCATCTGGATTAATGGAAATGCTGTTAGTCATAAAGTCACCTAGCATAGCAACTCTCTCAATATCTCAAGGGAATATTACATCATATATTTGTGTGCTTCCCCAAAATAAATGACTCATTCCAAAGCAGCCACGAGCAAACTGCTTATGTTACTGCCATATGTCGAACTACTTAGTTTTTAAGCATTTGTAAATCAGGTTCCTGATGGTCTTTTGGTTTTCCAGACACCCCTCTGAGGTCCAGTCTTGTGGCAGAGGCGACTGTGGTGGAGCTGCTTCGAGAGGATCCAGATGAGGATCTGGGATTGCGTATAGTAGGAGGGAAGGACACACCCTTGGGCAACATCGTCATTCAGGAGATTGTGCGTGATTCACTGGCTGCACGGGATGGCAAGCTGGCTCCTGGAGATCATATTCTAGAGGTGAGGCATATCTCAGCTCGCCATACCATTATGTTTGTTTTAGATTGTCAGTCGCTATGGATTTGAACCCATTAGATGTGAGCAAACTGCTTGTGTTACTGCCATATGTCGAACTACTTAGTTTTTAAGCATTTGTAAATCAGGTTCCTGATGGTCTTTTGGTTTTCCAGACACCCCTCTGAGGTCCAGTCTTGTGGCAGAGGCGACTGTGGTGGAGCTGCTTCGAGAGGATCCAGATGAGGATCTGGGATTGCGTATAGTAGGAGGGAAGGACACACCCTTGGGCAACATCGTCATTCAGGAGATTGTGCGTGATTCACTGGCTGCACGGGATGGCAAGCTGGCTCCTGGAGATCATATTCTAGAGGTGAGGCATATCTCAGCTCGCCATGCCATTATGTTTGTTTTAGATTGTCAGTCGCTATGGATTTGAACCCATTAGATGTTTTCCACTGGTTTTATCTCTCTGAATCTGTCTTTCTATCCAGTTCTCATGTTGTCAGTGTACACACCCCAGCGTCATTGTGTTTACATTGCAGTCACATCCCTGGATAAAGGTCACAAGACCCTGCTTACCCAAATGTCAGGACATTTCCATTGGCTGGCACATTATTGACCATATAAAAATGTAGCTGTTTTCAGTTGAGTAGAAAAATTCTGTTATAGGACATGTATCAAAATAGGTTTAGTTCAATACATGTCCTATAGAACTGACCCACTTTACACAAGTTTTCACTAATTGGTCATATTTAGCTGATTTACAGTTTGTTTGTGTAGTTCCAGAATGGAAGATGGAGAAGGGAGTCATTCTCATGTTAAATTAGAAAATTCAGATTTCATTAAGACTGATTTCAGATAGACATTAAAGGGGCATTCAGTAGTCCTTTAGCTAACTTTAGCATCGCTGTTCTTTGTGTACTTTAAGTACCGATACGACAGTGGTGTTAGATTTTGCACTGCCATCTATCGATGTGGATCAGGATTTTATTACAACGACACTAATCAGTTTTAGAGCATGGCCTACTACACACAGTAATTAATTCCTTTATCTGTCCCAGCAAAACAGAAGCAACTTGGTCTAAGTCATCAAATCTTTCCACCTTGTTTAAGCTGTACTGATGCTTACGCTCATTTTTTGCCTTTGTAAGTCTTTCAGTCTTCGGCTTAAAGGGGTCCTATGTAAGAATTGTTCTAGACCAGCGGTTCTCAATTCCAGTCCTCGCTTACCCGCGCTCTGCATGTTTTACATGTCTCGAACCTTGAGCTTTAATGAATGCCTCCAGCTCGTCTTCTCTGAGTTCATATATACGGAAATCTGAATGAGGTCAACCATCAACCCTAGACTGATCTGTATCCCAAGTGGAGCTTCTTTTACTTTTTTTAGGGAGCTAAGGCCTGTAAAGAGATCTGTGGATGGCTTGGATATCTTATTTCTTGAAATGGGATCTCTCTTTTCTCTCGGTTCAACACAGCATTGATTATCACAAAGGGCTGTTCCAAGCCTCAGGCAGGAAGATTTTCTCTCTTTTTTTGGGTCCAGAAGCATAAATAACAGTATTATTTTAGGATCTTTTAATATGGTGTTCTTTAGAGAGAACAAAGCGTACTGGTTGGATCTTAAATAAAGGTTAGGCATTAACCTGAATTCCCACATGAACGGATATCAAGGCAATGCTTTCACTTTATGAAGGAGGACAGAGTCCAAGTACAAATATTGACTTAAAGTCCTTTAAAAACATTTGAATAATAGACATATTAGTGTTGTTTTAATGTAGCGTATACCAGATTTCTCCAATCATTTAATCCATTTAAACCCCATCCCTTTTAGAGGTGCCTCCACCCAAACAATAAATGGTGGACAGAACCAAGTCCCTGTCTTACATTATTTACATATAACATATATTAATCTGTTTCACTTAGCTATACAACACAATATGGAAGAAAAGATCTGTAGCTCATTGCATTGCATTGCGACCTCAAAGTAACGGTTTGATCTTTGCAGGTCATTGATGTCAGTTTGGCATCCATCTCCCACAGTCGTGCCATTGCTGTGCTTCGACAGTCAAGTTCCCGCGTCAGGCTAACTGTCATGCAGGAGAAGGGCTTCAAGCCCCGGCCTGAGCATCTTGCTCAACCCTCAGCTTCTCCCCCGTCACAATCACCCAATCCTAACCAGAACCACGGCACCATCATCCAAGTCACCCTGGTAAAGCGTGAGCGCTCTGAGCCGCTGGGCATCAAACTCATCCGTAAGTCTGAGGAGCCAGGAGTCTTCATCCTGGACCTGCTGCCTGGGGGACTGGCTGCCAAAGATGGCAAACTGAGGAACAATGATAAAGTGCTGGGCATCAACGGACAGGACCTGAGACATGGCACCCCAGAGAGCGCAGCTCAGATCATACAGGTCAGGTACAGACAGACAGAATCACTTCAGAGAGAAAAAGTGGATGTCTCAAACTATTATTAATACAATCTGTTACTTTTAAACACTAGATTGAGATTTCAGGTTTTATAGTAAATGTAAGTGATTGTTATGCTCTGTTATGTGTGTGGCAGGCATGTGAAATGCGCGTGAACTTCGTTGTGATGAGACTTCCTGATCTCTCGGAGGAGGGTGGTGAGGGCCAGAGCAGAGGAGCCAGGAGGGTCCCGGAACTGCAGTACTTCAAGCGTCGATCCGAATACATGAAGGTAAAAAAGCGTGATTCCCAAGCCCTAAGCATAATGTTGACATGTTTAAAGACACAAATATTCATAGCTGTTTTCTGCCATTATGCTTACTAGGAGTGATGCTCACTCCTAATCTTCCATTTCCATTCACATATATATATATATATATATATATAAGCTGTATAGAAATAAAATGTATGCACCATTCACACGTTTGGGTTATTTTTTTAAATATTTCTTTAAAAAGGCAGTAAAAGCAATAATATTATAAAATACTGTTATTACAAAACTTTTTTTCAATTGTAATATATTTTAAAATGTGATTTATTATTGTGATGGCAAAGCTGAATTTTCAGCAGCCATTACTCCAGTCTTCAGTGTCACATGATCCTTCAGAAATCATTCTAATATGCTGATTTGCAGCTCAAGAAACATTTATTATCAATGCTGAAAATAGCTGCACTGCTAAATGTTTTTGTGGAAATTGTGATACCGTTTTTGGATTCTTTATTCAAATGAATGTTTGCCAAAGAACAGCATTTATTTGAAATAGAATTTGTATTGTCTTTACTGTCACTTTTGTTCAATTTAATGTGTCCTTGCTAAATAAAAGTAATTTATATATACAACACTGGCTAAAGTGAAGGAAACCATACAAGAGAGATGACAAAGTCAGCAAGTCGGTGAGATTAAATGAATTTCTCATACATTTCACACTTTCAATCATGAATTATGATAGCTTCATGGATTGTAATGTGTTAAATTCACGTGTTGTAGTGTTTTGCATATTATGAGGTAGTTTAATGTATTACGAGGTAATTGCAGTGCATTCAGAAAGTATTCAGACCCCCTTCACTTTTTTTCAATTTTGTTATGTTGCAGCCTGATACTACAATTGTTTAAATTCATTTTTTTGTCATTAATCTACACTCCATACCTCCGTATCACAGGTGGACTCCAATCAAGGTGTAGAAACATCTCGACAATGATCTAGAGAAATGGGAGACACCGGAGCTAAATTTCAAGTGTTGTTGCATACCGTACTTATGTTAATGTGATATTTCAGTTTTTCTTTTTAATAAATTTACAGACATTTCTAAAATTCTGTTTTCACTTTGTTATTATGAGGTACGGAGTGTAGATTAATGAGAGAAAAAATTAATTTAAACAATTATAGTATCAGGCTGCAACATAACAAAATTGAAAAAAAGTGAAGGGGGTCTGAATACTTTCTGAATGCACTGTATACAATACCTGGCTATGTAAATGGATCAAAAAGTAAAAGAAAGGTGTTTTGTAATTATAGTTTGACTCGTTGGCAAAAGCTTGGTTGCATGTTTCATAGGTTGTGCTGCCTGCACGTGTGCGCGCGAGGTGACTTTTCACCCAGAGACCAGTCACACCCTGCTTTTGTGACACTTCCTCACCAGCTGAAGACAGAGGCAGCAAACACAGGCTGGGTAGTGGGAGATGAAAGCAGATAGCCCCCTCTCTCTCTCTGGGACTCGTCCCTGATCAAAAGGCCGGGGTGCTGCTCTCTAATGAAATTCTAATGAGCCGCTTTGTGATATCACAAAGCCCGGAAACCAAACGCTGTAGTCCAAACGAGCCGTTTGCTGTAGTTCTTGAAAATGGATTTTTTTTAAACTAAATATCTCCCTTTGGAGTGGACTTTGAGATTTGTAACTTTCTAGATCTTTTTTTATGCCCAAACATACACACTACACACTGACTAAAAGTGAAAAAGCATAATAGGACCCCTTTAAGACCTTTTTGCATCTTTGGTCATAAAGATTCTAATCCTCTCTTTATTTAATCGCGTAAAGCACGATAAGAAGTGTTCCATTGTCTAATTTTCGCTCTTCACGTCAAACAACACTGTTCAACTAGTGTATCTGCAGATGCGGCAGCTAGTGAGTGAGTACGAGCACCACCTTTTAGTGAAACACAGTGGATCACGTCATTTCAACACGGCGAAATACATAATTAAAACACTTTGTACAGTCTTCATCCTGTGCGAGTAACACTATTCAGATGACTCTTCACAAAAACAGTGTATTTGTTTTATTTGTAAAACATTTTAACTTGGCGCTAAACTACAGAATTCACCTTTAAAAAGCTGTTACACAGTAGTGCTTCTCAGTTACAATTCAGTTCAGTTAAGCAAATTTACATTCTTGTTCCCACAATCCTACGCTCTCGTAGGATTTCTTCTCCTGGCAGTCCCGGAATGCAATGCCTTAGTAAAGCAAACAGCACGACTGCCTTCGCATTCAAATTCAACCTTGAGCTTTAATGAATGCCTCCAGCTCGTCTTCTCTGAGTTCATATATACGGAAATCTGAATGAGGTCAACCATCAACCCTAGACTGATCTGTATCCCAAGTGGAGCTTCTTTTACTTTTTTTAGGGAGCTAAGGCCTGTAAAGAGATCTGTGGATGGCTTGGATATCTTATTTCTTGAAATGGGATCTCTCTTTTCTCTCGGTTCAACACAGCATTGATTATCACAAAGGGCTGTTCCAAGCCTCAGGCAGGAAGATTTTCTCTCTTTTTTTGGGTCCAGAAGCATAAATAACAGTATTATTTTAGGATCTTTTAATATGGTGTTCTTTAGAGAGAACAAAGCGTACTGGTTGGATCTTAAATAAAGGTTAGGCATTAACCTGAATTCCCACATGAACGGATATCAAGGCAATGCTTTCACTTTATGAAGGAGGACAGAGTCCAAGTACAAATATTGACTTAAAGTCCTTTAAAAACATTTGAATAATAGACATATTAGTGTTGTTTTAATGTAGCGTATACCAGATTTCTCCAATCATTTAATCCATTTAAACCCCATCCCTTTTAGAGGTGCCTCCACCCAAACAATAAATGGTGGACAGAACCAAGTCCCTGTCTTACATTATTTACATATAACATATATTAATCTGTTTCACTTAGCTATACAACACAATATGGAAGAAAAGATCTGTAGCTCATTGCATTGCATTGCGACCTCAAAGTAACGGTTTGATCTTTGCAGGTCATTGATGTCAGTTTGGCATCCATCTCCCACAGTCGTGCCATTGCTGTGCTTCGACAGTCAAGTTCCCGCGTCAGGCTAACTGTCATGCAGGAGAAGGGCTTCAAGCCCCGGCCTGAGCATCTTGCTCAACCCTCAGCTTCTCCCCCGTCACAATCACCCAATCCTAACCAGAACCACGGCACCATCATCCAAGTCACCCTGGTAAAGCGTGAGCGCTCTGAGCCGCTGGGCATCAAACTCATCCGTAAGTCTGAGGAGCCAGGAGTCTTCATCCTGGACCTGCTGCCTGGGGGACTGGCTGCCAAAGATGGCAAACTGAGGAACAATGATAAAGTGCTGGGCATCAACGGACAGGACCTAAGACATGGCACCCCAGAGAGCGCAGCTCAGATCATACAGGTCAGGTACAGACAGACAGAATCACTTCAGAGAGAAAAAGTGGATGTCTCAAACTATTATTAATACAATCTGTTACTTTTAAACACTAGATTGAGATTTCAGGTTTTATAGTAAATGTAAGTGATTGTTATGTGTGTGGCAGGCATGTGAAATGCGCGTGAACTTCGTTGTGATGAGACTTCCTGATCTCTCGGAGGAGGGTGGTGAGGGCCAGAGCAGAGGAGCCAGGAGGGTCCCGGAACTGCAGTACTTCAAGCGTCGATCCGAATACATGAAGGTAAAAAAGCGTGATTCCCAAGCCCTAAGCATAATGTTGACATGTTTAAAGACACAAATATTCATAGCTGTTTTCTGCCATTATGCTTACTAGGAGTGATGCTCACTCCTAATCTTCCATTTCCATTCACATATATATATATATATATATATATAAGCTGTATAGAAATAAAATGTATGCACCATTCACACGTTTGGGTTATTTTTTTAAATATTTCTTTAAAAAGGCAGTAAAAGCAATAATATTATAAAATACTGTTATTACAAAACTTTTTTTCAATTGTAATATATTTTAAAATGTGATTTATTATTGTGATGGCAAAGCTGAATTTTCAGCAGCCATTACTCCAGTCTTCAGTGTCACATGATCCTTCAGAAATCATTCTAATATGCTGATTTGCAGCTCAAGAAACATTTATTATCAATGCTGAAAATAGCTGCACTGCTAAATGTTTTTGTGGAAATTGTGATACCGTTTTTGGATTCTTTATTCAAAAGAATGTTTGCCAAAGAACAGCATTTATTTGAAATAGAATTTGTATTGTCTTTACTGTCACTTTTGTTCAATTTAATGTGTCCTTGCTAAATAAAAGTAATTTATATATACAACACTGGCTAAAGTGAAGGAAACCATACAAGAGAGATGACAAAGTCAGCAAGTCGGTGAGATTAAATGAATTTCTCATACATTTCACACTTTCAATCATGAATTATGATAGCTTCATGGATTGTAATGTGTTAAATTCACGTGTTGTAGTGTTTTGCATATTATGAGGTAGTTTAATGTATTACGAGGTAATTGCAGTGCATTCAGAAAGTATTCAGACCCCCTTCACTTTTTTTCAATTTTGTTATGTTGCAGCCTGATACTACAATTGTTTAAATTCATTTTTTTGTCATTAATCTACACTCCATACCTCCGTATCACAGGTGGACTCCAATCAAGGTGTAGAAACATCTCGACAATGATCTAGAGAAATGGGAGACACCGGAGCTAAATTTCAAGTGTTGTTGCATACCGTACTTATGTTAATGTGATATTTCAGTTTTTCTTTTTAATAAATTTACAGACATTTCTAAAATTCTGTTTTCACTTTGTTATTATGAGGTACGGAGTGTAGATTAATGAGAGAAAAAATTAATTTAAACAATTATAGTATCAGGCTGCAACATAACAAAATTGAAAAAAAGTGAAGGGGGTCTGAATACTTTCTGAATGCACTGTATACAATACCTGGCTATGTAAATGGATCAAAAAGTAAAAGAAAGGTGTTTTGTAATTATAGTTTGACTCGTTGGCAAAAGCTTGGTTGCATGTTTCATAGGTTGTGCTGCCTGCACGTGTGCGCGCGAGGTGACTTTTCACCCAGAGACCAGTCACACCCTGCTTTTGTGACACTTCCTCACCAGCTGAAGACAGAGGCAGCAAACACAGGCTGGGTAGTGGGAGATGAAAGCAGATAGCCCCCTCTCTCTCTCTGGGACTCGTCCCTGATCAAAAGGCCGGGGTGCTGCTCTCTGAGCTGCTGCAGCCACTGTGTTTGTTTGTAGCTGGGGATCAAAGCTGGTAACAGTTAGCTTTCACCTGTGGAGATGAAGCTTGAGCTCACGCTGGGAGGAAGGGCCACCCTGCTGGGTAGGAAGAGGCCACCCCTCCCCCTCTGGAGGTCTGGAGAAGATGGCTGAAAGGAGAGCGTTTTGCCACAATCTATGAGTTATGATGGCAGCGTGTCGGAGCTGCTCACATTAACACATCTCTGCTTCGCAGCAGGATCTGGGATGTTTGTTTTTACAAATGTTTTCACCGCAGGAGTCGGGCACATGTCTTAAACTTTCACTTTTCTCCCATCCCCCAAATACAGACCTTTTCAAAACACTATTACTAATCATTTAGCACGCTTGCATGCAGTTACAATGGATCTGCAGTAAGTTTTTGCATAGTTGAGGTACAGTCTTTTGAGTATACATGACACAACTATAACCATACTTAAATGTTTTAAGGATTAAACATCAACTCTGTCTTTCAGAGCATGCTCACAATGCAAGGCCAGCTGTAGTCTGTTTACTGTGTGTATACTAACTGTTCAAAGGTTTTTGAGCCAGTATGATTTTTTTTAAAGACAGAAATTAATACTTTTATTTAGCAAGGATGCATGAAACTGATCAAAAGTGACAGTAAAGTATTTTACATTGTTACAAGAAGGGAATCATTTCAAATAAAGTTCAAGAATATGAATAAAATGTATCATGGCTTTTACAGAAATATTAAGGAACACCACTGTTTTCAACATTGATAATAGTAGTAAATGTTTCTTGAGCTTCGAATCAGCATATTAGAATAACGGGGATAAATTACAGTTTCAAAAATGTTAAAATAAAAATAATGTGAATTTCGCAATAGGACTCGTCCCTGATCAAAAGGCCGGGGTGCTGCTCTCTGAGCTGCTGCAGCCACTGTGTTTGTTTGTAGCTGGGGATCAAAGCTGGTAACAGTTAGCTTTCACCTGTGGAGATGAAGCTTGAGCTCACGCTGGGAGGAAGGGCCACCCTGCTGGGTAGGAAGAGGCCACCCCTCCCCCTCTGGAGGTCTGGAGAAGATGGCTGAAAGGAGAGCGTTTTGCCACAATCTATGAGTTATGATGGCAGCGTGTCGGAGCTGCTCACATTAACACATCTCTGCTTCGCAGCAGGATCTGGGATGTTTGTTTTTACAAATGTTTTCACCGCAGGAGTCGGGCACATGTCTTAAACTTTCACTTTTCTCCCATCCCCCAAATACAGACCTTTTCAAAACACTATTACTAATCATTTAGGACGCTTGCATGCAGTTACAATGGATCTGCAGTAAGTTTTTGCATAGTTGAGGTACAGTCTTTTGAGTATACATATAACCATACTTAAATGTTTTAAGGATTAAACATCAACTCTGTCTTTCAGAGCATGCTCACAATGCAAGGCCAGCTGTAGTCTGTTTACTGTGTGTATACTAACTGTTCAAAGGTTTTTGAGCCAGTATGATTTTTTTTAAAGACAGAAATTAATACTTTTATTTAGCAAGGATGCATGAAACTGATCAAAAGTGACAGTAAAGTATTTTACATTGTTACAAGAAGGGAATCATTTCAAATAAAGTTCAAGAATATGAATAAAATGTATCATGGCTTTTACAGAAATATTAAGGAACACCACTGTTTTCAACATTGATAATAGTAGTAAATGTTTCTTGAGCTTCGAATCAGCATATTAGAATAACGGGGATAAATTACAGTTTCAAAAATGTTAAAATAAAAATAATGTGAATTTCGCAATATTACTATTTTACTGTATTTTTGATCAAATTAGGCTAATACAAATTTGGTGAGCATGAGATTTCAAAAACAAAAAAATATATTTTGAAAGTTAATGTACATACTAGATAAAACCAAGTTACAGTAGCATTGCAATATCTAGATCTGATAGTCCAGTTTTTGGCATAGTTGGACTGGTACAGTGTTTACATGACTATTTGAAAGATGCATGTAATGTAATTCAGCTGTTGGAGAAATTGCTGTTGCTTTCATCCACATAAAAAAATGTATGACTAAGTTTGTATTGTGCAAGTTGTTTAATGTACATTATCTGGATTCAGGAGCCTCTCACATATATATATATATATATATATATATATATATATATAAGCTGTATAGAAATAAAATGTATGCACCATTCACACGTTTGGGTTATTTTTTTAAATATTTCTTTAAAAAGGCAGTAAAAGCAATAATATTATAAAATACTGTTATTACAAAACTTTTTTTCAATTGTAATATATTTTAAAATGTGATTTATTATTGTGATGGCAAAGCTGAATTTTCAGCAGCCATTACTCCAGTCTTCAGTGTCACATGATCCTTCAGAAATCATTCTAATATGCTGATTTGCAGCTCAAGAAACATTTATTATCAATGCTGAAAATAGCTGCACTGCTAAATGTTTTTGTGGAAATTGTGATACCGTTTTTGGATTCTTTATTCAAAAGAATGTTTGCCAAAGAACAGCATTTATTTGAAATAGAATTTGTATTGTCTTTACTGTCACTTTTGTTCAATTTAATGTGTCCTTGCTAAATAAAAGTAATTTATATATACAACACTGGCTAAAGTGAAGGAAACCATACAAGAGAGATGACAAAGTCAGCAAGTCGGTGAGATTAAATGAATTTCTCATACATTTCACACTTTCAATCATGAATTATGATAGCTTCATGGATTGTAATGTGTTAAATTCACGTGTTGTAGTGTTTTGCATATTATGAGGTAGTTTAATGTATTACGAGGTAATTGCAGTGCATTCAGAAAGTATTCAGACCCCCTTCACTTTTTTTCAATTTTGTTATGTTGCAGCCTGATACTACAATTGTTTAAATTCATTTTTTTGTCATTAATCTACACTCCATACCTCCGTATCACAGGTGGACTCCAATCAAGGTGTAGAAACATCTCGACAATGATCTAGAGAAATGGGAGACACCGGAGCTAAATTTCAAGTGTTGTTGCATACCGTACTTATGTTAATGTGATATTTCAGTTTTTCTTTTTAATAAATTTACAGACATTTCTAAAATTCTGTTTTCACTTTGTTATTATGAGGTACGGAGTGTAGATTAATGAGAGAAAAAATTAATTTAAACAATTATAGTATCAGGCTGCAACATAACAAAATTGAAAAAAAGTGAAGGGGGTCTGAATACTTTCTGAATGCACTGTATACAATACCTGGCTATGTAAATGGATCAAAAAGTAAAAGAAAGGTGTTTTGTAATTATAGTTTGACTCGTTGGCAAAAGCTTGGTTGCATGTTTCATAGGTTGTGCTGCCTGCACGTGTGCGCGCGAGGTGACTTTTCACCCAGAGACCAGTCACACCCTGCTTTTGTGACACTTCCTCACCAGCTGAAGACAGAGGCAGCAAACACAGGCTGGGTAGTGGGAGATGAAAGCAGATAGCCCCCTCTCTCTCTCTGGGACTCGTCCCTGATCAAAAGGCCGGGGTGCTGCTCTCTGAGCTGCTGCAGCCACTGTGTTTGTTTGTAGCTGGGGATCAAAGCTGGTAACAGTTAGCTTTCACCTGTGGAGATGAAGCTTGAGCTCACGCTGGGAGGAAGGGCCACCCTGCTGGGTAGGAAGAGGCCACCCCTCCCCCTCTGGAGGTCTGGAGAAGATGGCTGAAAGGAGAGCGTTTTGCCACAATCTATGAGTTATGATGGCAGCGTGTCGGAGCTGCTCACATTAACACATCTCTGCTTCGCAGCAGGATCTGGGATGTTTGTTTTTACAAATGTTTTCACCGCAGGAGTCGGGCACATGTCTTAAACTTTCACTTTTCTCCCATCCCCCAAATACAGACCTTTTCAAAACACTATTACTAATCATTTAGGACGCTTGCATGCAGTTACAATGGATCTGCAGTAAGTTTTTGCATAGTTGAGGTACAGTCTTTTGAGTATACATATAACCATACTTAAATGTTTTAAGGATTAAACATCAACTCTGTCTTTCAGAGCATGCTCACAATGCAAGGCCAGCTGTAGTCTGTTTACTGTGTGTATACTAACTGTTCAAAGGTTTTTGAGCCAGTATGATTTTTTTTAAAGACAGAAATTAATACTTTTATTTAGCAAGGATGCATGAAACTGATCAAAAGTGACAGTAAAGTATTTTACATTGTTACAAGAAGGGAATCATTTCAAATAAAGTTCAAGAATATGAATAAAATGTATCATGGCTTTTACAGAAATATTAAGGAACACCACTGTTTTCAACATTGATAATAGTAGTAAATGTTTCTTGAGCTTCGAATCAGCATATTAGAATAACGGGGATAAATTACAGTTTCAAAAATGTTAAAATAAAAATAATGTGAATTTCGCAATATTACTATTTTACTGTATTTTTGATCAAATTAGGCTAATACAAATTTGGTGAGCATGAGATTTCAAAAACAAAAAAATATATTTTGAAAGTTAATGTACATACTAGATAAAACCAAGTTACAGTAGCATTGCAATATCTAGATCTGATAGTCCAGTTTTTGGCATAGTTGGACTGGTACAGTGTTTACATGACTATTTGAAAGATGCATGTAATGTAATTCAGCTGTTGGAGAAATTGCTGTTGCTTTCATCCACATAAAAAAATGTATGACTAAGTTTGTATTGTGCAAGTTGTTTAATGTACATTATCTGGATTCAGGAGCCTCCCGTTGGGTTCTCCAGTCAAGAGAAGACAGTGAGTCTAAAGAAGGAGCCTCGACACTCTCTAGGCATCACCATCGCGGGTGGGAGAGAGTGCCGCAGCCGTTTGCCCGTCTACATCACTAGTGTGCAGCCGGTGGGCTGCCTACACAGAGACGGCACTGTCAAAACAGGTCATTCTCATGCCTCCATATAAAATGCTCAGCTCTGAGCATCATGTGCAATGCTTGTGTTAACTGTGATATTATGGCTGCTGCAGGTGATGTATTGCTGAGTATAAATGATATCGACCTGACCCATCTTACCTACAATGAAGCGGTGACCATCCTAAAGACTCAGGCAGCTCAGAACACAGTAACACTGCGAGTTATCCAAACCTTTGCTGAGGAGGAGGAACAGGACGGAGAATCCAGCACCAGAGAAGACATGGAAACACTGGAGGGACCCAAAGAGGATGACATTAACTGGGCTCCTCTCTGGACCCGCTGGTTGGGCCTGCCCAGGTACGATTTGCTTGTTGTTGAGAAATCGATTATTGAGTGCAAAATTCTAATTTGATGTCCTCTTCTGTAACTTTTAGGCAAGTATATGGCCGTATGGGCTTAAACATGATCAAAATTCATAATTTGACCATATATTTTTAATCCCAAGTTACATCCACTGGTGTCGTGATATTATGCTGATGAAGACCAACAGTGAGAGCTGGGGCTTCAGTATCGTGGGAGGATATGAGGAGAGTCGTGGCCAGCAGCCCTTCTTCATTAAAACCATAGTGCCTGGAACACCAGCTCACTTTGATGGACGCCTCAAGTGAGTCTCCTGTGCTCTTTAACAAAATTACCATTCAAAAATTTGGGGTCAGTAAGGTTTTGTTGTTTTTGAAAGGAATTCATTATTCTATTTAGCAAGGATGCAGTATGTTCTTTTGAACTTTTCTGTTCATCCAAGAATACTGAAAAACGTCACAGTTTCCACAAAAATATGAAGCAGCACATGTTTTTAAAATAAGAAATGTTTCTTGAGGAAGAATGTAAAATCCAACTGTGGCACAAAAGGATATTTTGTTGATTTAACATTGACTAATTCAGATGACATATTTCGGAACAAACGGAGTAAAAAAAATATTATTAAAGGCTAATGTACATATTCCAAATGCAGATGACATGGTCATACCAGGACATTCTCAGACATCATTTTAGGCCAGATTTGAAACTTAATGCACTTACACTGCTCCACATTCTTTATTGCGTCTTAGCCTGCCCCCTAGAGGCCATATAAAGCTCAACATATCAAATTATTATTTTTTTGCTGTAAGCTGTTGCTAAATAAATACTTAAGAAACTTAAAATACATAAAGCGTTAGTGAAAATGGACAGACTACCTCAAATGTAGCTGTTTGTATCCGAATCATTCATGCTGAGTTACGTTTGTTCTTCACACTCCCATACAATGTATATTCCAACAAAAACTTGAATAGGTAAATATCGCTTGGCGCAAAAATGAATGACATTACTCTTGGTAACAAATTTTGCTTGATTGGCATACGTTATCGTTTTTAAACACACTACTAATGACATTGTAAAACAATATCAAAAACCTCCAGGACAATCTGCTTGTCCTCGTGTGCTCAAGTGCAATTTTCAGCCCTAACTCGAGTGGCATCTTGTACGTACATTTTATGGCTTACTGGGTAAACAGGTCCATATAAAGTGTAAAGTTACAGAGACACAGCTTATAAACAAACTATGCTACAATAATATCTTGGCGAAAAACGTATAACCAGCTAAATTACATAATGTAAACATGGTATACCACACTGTACATCCTGTCCATGATATTTACAAGTCAGTTTGTTGACTTCCCCGTGTAGTAGACAATCGCAAATGTGCCAGATCATGGTGCTGACTGTTCCTCTAAGCTAGTTCAAACATCTGCTGCACTAGCTTCAAAAGCCCCAACGCTAGTCATCACACTCTGAAAACATTAAAACACCACACACTTCTGACACACTGTTGTCCTTTAACATAAGGCAAATTTACACCATAAGGTGCCTTGTTCATAATACTTTGGGGTAAATGCACTTGTTAAACAGCATCAGAGTTTGCTTTCTTCCCATCTCTCATTATATGTAACAAAACATCTGAGTGCAACACAGGAGCGCTTCTACTACATCAGGAAATGTGCAAAATCTGCTCTAAAGCAAAGTGACAGTGTTGCAAATTCTACTGTACAAGGTACTGGGAGAAGGGGTCTTGTAGAAACCCAGTGAAGACCCTCAATCCGACATATATACAAGGCACTAAGGAGAGGAAAGAAGGGCCTTCCACGAGGATCCAGCAGAAGTCCTTTAGTCAGGTCTGAATATAGGATATTTTGGTAAGAACTCTATAAGAACAACCTGTAGACAGAAAAAAAAGACAATGTTACGCAAGCACACTTGAGGGGTAAAAATCACCAGCCTCGTGGTTTACAACCTTAAGGTCTGACTTTGTAAGAAAATGCAGAACAAAAAGAAAAAAAAGGTCTGAATGAAACATTGAGGAGTCAAATTACCTTTTTAGTTACAAATTACAGAATCACATGATAAAGATGATTGTTGAGAAACGCAAAGTGCAAAGCTTCCTACTTTAGCTTTTAACAACAGTCAGTACTGTGATTATGACAGTTTAAGCTATACATTTAAAATAAATGATGTTCTTTTAAACTATCCATCCAAGAATCTTAAAAAAGACTGCACAAAAAACTGTAAGCAGCACAACTGTTTCAACATTAATATAATATGATGAATGATTTCTGAAAAATCATGTGACACTGAAGACTGAAAAATTCAGCTTTGCATTACAGGAATAAATCACATTTTAAAATATATTCACAAAGAAAAATTGTTATATTAAACTGTAATATTCCACAGTATTACAGTTCTTACCGTTACATTATTTTTAATACAAATCAAATAAATGCAGCCTTGGTGAGCACAATAGATATCTTTCAAAAAAAATTTGAAAGGTAAGTTAAACAGGCTTTTTTATTTTGTATTTATCATACATAAGGTACAATTTGATGCCGTCACTTTAATGAACATGGTTGTACTTGTGACACATAAATATCACAGTTTTAAAAGTTATTTCTGCCTGTTTTTAAAATAAGTATGAGTTCATTTGCAAAAACAGATAATTCCATTTTTTAAAAATCATGTTTTGTTTTTTTATCCTGCATTCCAATCAATATCAATCAAACTGCAGTTGGGTTGTTTTGATTAAATAATAATATCTAAAAAATATACAGCTAACTAACAATAAAAAACATGATTTATGAGTTATCATAAGGAGGATTTATCTGTTTTTGCAAATAAACTCTTCATATATACAGCATTGTTGATTATGGTCACACAAACAAATATTCCCTTAGAGCTAATTCAACCATAAAATTGGATCTTGTTTTTTTTTTTTTTTGGAAAATATTTGTGATGATTTTACAATTTATTACAAAAACTATGAAATTGAATTTGTCACAAAACGACAAGTGAGACAAAGGCTGAATCTTTTTGACTGACTAAAAATAATCAGTACATAAGAGACATTTGTTCAAAAATCAGTCATCACAACTCACTTGTGCATGATAAATCAGATGAATACTCTAATGAGATGATGCACAAAGTTTCCCTGACTTCTCTTAGATTTTAAATTATTGTTGCACAATCAATTTTGTGGTGCATTTGCAGTAATTTAGGTAGCAGCTTATAGCCCTGAAATGAAAAAGAAGTAATTCACTTTTAATCACCGTTAAGAAACTTTCATGAAAAACAACATCCACGAACTTACATATTCCATCATGTTGCTGCTCTCACATTTTCTCTTGCTGAGTTTCCAGTGCAGCCCCAGCTGAAGGCGAGACAAGAAGAGACGGGTTAGACAAAGCCGTGCGGGAGATCTTCAAAATAGACGCAAGCACTTCAGATGCTCAGACACATTTTACACACAAGGGTTAGCTGAGGTCAAGCAGTGGTCAACGATTAGCTGAGTTTCCTTAACATGTCTGTCAGTCAAAGCTTCGAGACACAACAAAACGAACGTCGCTTTTTACTGCTGACCTTTCCACAGTCTGGTCAGACTCTGCACTATATCAATGCATCAGACCAAAATGGCTGCGAGGGCAACAAGCATTTGACAGGGTCAAATGTTAGCAGCCATTTTAATGATTGTTATCCACCACACACCAAGACCTGAACGGCTCTTAACATGGCAGCTAAATTGGAGATGATCCGCTGTCCTAATCTTTGTGTGTCAGATTAATTCTGCTATGAGTTTACCTTATGATATAATCTGTTGTTTTCCCATTCTAACAATTTCTGGATGGATCTTCGCGTCTGAAAACACACAAACAAAAATGAGCTTTCACAAATCAATAATTATACACAAACAAAAATAGACAAACACACAGGTTTTTATGCTAATCACCCTGTCAAACTCTTCAAACACATGCTTAACAAATGCCAATAAAACTCCCAGGGCATGAAGACTTCAGAGGCATTTATGGAGCGAAGCTCGTAGTTAAGCACCTTGTAAGCTGCACGTCACGGCCAATAACTTAAAATTTGTAGTTGTAAAATCGCCACCTTTCCACAATTCAACAAGCCTTCTGACATATATCAGTTTCACACACAGTGGATGCAGTTTACTACTTGCCTCCTCACTGAGTGGGTTTATTTATTAGGTGTTCAAATGAGGCAGTAAGTAATTAATACAGATTAATGGGGGAAGGACCGGTCATGTCTGAGGAAGGACTCACTCTCTTGTTGAGACATATGACAGGCCACAGACTGCAGCCCACCGTACAGCAACAGCACAGGCAGCCGCAGAGCAACCATTTCACATTGACCGGTAGGTTCTTCTTCAAGCAAGCGTTTACTCGATTGACGCTCGTCTTGAACTCCTCTGGAGCAACCTAGAGCAGATGGGAGAGAATCAAAACAGGACTGTAAATAAGTTAGTAAATGATTCTGTGTGTATTAGTAGGAAGGGAATATTTAAAAAAATATATAAATAAAAATATATTAAAAATAATAAAAAGGTAAATATTTTTAATAGATTATAAATAGTAAAGCAACAACAAAATGTTCATTTAAGAAATACAAGAAAAGCTCCATATAAAGTAAATGGAATTTTTTTTAAGAAAAATGTTTAATGTTTGCAGATGTTCTCTGGAGATCTCACAATTGCACGCTTGTAACTTGCCAACCAAGCTCTGACCCTCTCAGAGCAAAGGGAGGACAAAAAGATGAGATAAGCCCGTGGCCTGTGGCTGCGCCATCTAAACAACATGAATGGCTGCTCATTCCTCTCTGGGTATGTACGCCATAAAACCGGGGTCGTAATCTTTTATGGCAGGATGCAAAGGTCTCTTTGCAAACAGCAAAAGAACTCGGAATAAAGCCCAGCAGGCCTGATCTGCACCCTTCAGTCATCATAATCCTGACCTCATCTGTCACATGTCACCCTGGGTCACAATACTGGAGCTCCGCTTTATTGCCCCGCACTTCCCTCGGTCTGCTCTTCCCCCTGTAGCCTTTTTGTATTTCTGCGTCCGACCCAGGAAGCTTCCTATTCTTGTGGACGGCACAGTGTTTCTTTCATTATTTTGTCTCTGGGAGCTGTGTCCTCCCATCGCTGGGGATCCCTGCCTACCGGAGCCCTGGACGGTTTACTTATTGACAGATTCTGTTGCAAAAATGCAGCAAGCTTGGATTAAAACCATTTTAGAGACTTCATCAAGGGATTCATTAATCAGAGGCTCATAGCATGGTGAATTATGGTGTAAGGTTAAAGGTCAACAGGGAAAGATATTTTATTCACACCATAAATAAAATTCAATTGGATATACTTTGTAGATGTGAGTTAGAAATCATTACCTTTCCTGTGAGAACGGAAGGAAACTCTGTGTCAAATTTGTTGCTTAGTCCAAACCTGCAAACACAGATTTTTAAAAAGGTTATGATTATGGGGGAAAAAAAGATGTTAAGGGCCATTCCCACCACATAACAAAAAATATAATGCATTGGTAAAAAATAATCATGAGATACTATGCAATAATTATGATAAAAAGTTCAAATTATGACATGAAATGTAACAATGTTGAACTACTAGTCAATTTTGACAGAAAATATTATGACACAAAAGTCAGAATTATTAAATACAAATAATGAAATTATGAGACATTAAGTCATAGTTATGTGATAAACATTGAAATTATGACATTCCAAGTTGTAATTATGCGATAAAGTCGAAACTATGGTATAAACAGTTAATTGACTTTGTGATAATGACTTTTTATCTCATAATTATGACGTAATGTCACAATATAGACTTTTAATCTCATAATTAATGTTTACCAAAGCATGTTTTTTTCCTTATGTGGCAGAAATGGCCTTACAAACAAAGGCTCTGTTTGTCATGACAGGGGAAAAAGATAGCTTGGCTAACACTGGGTTCATTTCAGTTAGATGTAGAAGTAGATGTAAATGAAGGACTTGAAATCAACACAGACACAACAAAGTGAGAAGGTTGAGTTTCTACATTTAGCTTGAATTGCCAGAGAATCTGAAGGCTGCATAAGTGTCTCATGTGATGTCTGTTTATGATCCATCTACTGTCCCATGTAGAAACATCACGTTGTTTACCTCATTAAATAATAAAATACCTCAAAGCTCTACTGGTCTAGCTGGTGATTCAACTTCAGAAATGTGTGCATAACTGACAGTTGCAAGGTTACTTGTACTGTCCAATGAAAGCGATTGCATTAACTATAATATTATCTGATCTCCTAAGTTTACCTCAGCATACGTACAGTACAGTACAGTTACCCACAACTTCAAATTAAAGCAAAGATCCTAATGAGTTTGAGTGTGGTTACAGGGCAGCCTTTATCCACGGACAGCAATAAAACCATAAATCTCTGTGCTAACAACAAGGCTTCGGGTAAGAAGGGCTGATTCTTCCGCTTAAAATAACTGTCAGGACACAGCTGGAGAAGCTCGGCCTACGTGTATTTTAATACCACAACTTAGCGACAAAAACATGCAGTGAGCTTAGCATGGAGGCTATACACACACAGACATGAGCGAACAGTGACTAACAGCGGTGCTGCCGCATTCATACGCTTACACGGTGAAGTGACCAGCCCCACGCATGACCACAGGGTCGGGACAGTATCTGACGAGATGTTCTTCACTCACAATTCTCTCATCTTCTTCTAACTCATAAATGGTATCAAAGTCCGCCATGTTGGGCAGTAGGACGCTCATGACGTCATGGCACAGTGCTGTGGAGGGAGCGTCATCGCAGCGTCGACTGGCACTGTCCATAAACCCCAGCGTCTTGTTATTTCAGATAGCCTAGATATGAAACATTATATTGAGTTACTACTTGGGCTGAAAAGTAGTCAAGCAAAACGCACTAGGTCTGTATGTGAAGCTTTTAAGCTATTTGTATGATGATCTCATACCCTTTTATTTTTATTTATTTATTTATTTTATTATTATTTTATTTTTTTTACGTGTATTATACTTTTTTCTGTATATTCTCATTTTCTACATATTGTAGTCGATATTCAATGTTTTCTATACTATATGTTGGAAGCTACTGTCATGTTCATTGGCTGTAATAGGCCTATGACTGGCATTTAAAAAAAAGACTTGCACCGTACACAAATAAATTACAAAAGGGCCCTGAAACTCTTTTTGTAATTTATTCGTGTACAGTGCTAGTCTTTTTTTCACACATTCTGTATAAGCTAAACATTTTGAGTGAAGTGAGGAGCTTATGCACAAAATGTTGATTTTTTGTCAATTTCAAGAGCTGAAATTAAATATTATTTGAGCTGTTTAATTCGTTTTTCAACCCTACTTGGGACCTGTTTACAGAATGTTTATAACCCCGAAATGTGCGATTTTGTGGTTTTCTAGCAATAAACAATAAATAAAATTAAAAGTAAATAGACACCATTTTAAAAACTCCACAGTGTATAACATAGTTGCACATTTTGTCTAAATTAAGCTGTGCTCAGTAGGTAGGCCTATGGCCAGGGTTTGTGATTATTGACAGGGCTTTCATTTATAGGCATATTTCCAATAAATTACAGAAAATATATTTGTTTGATCCTGTTTCAGGGTAATATTGAATTAAGTTTTGAATCTTTGCAAAAATTGAATGTGATTATTTTCTTGTCTTCCTGTAGAAGACAAGAAAATGGAGTGTGTGGAGGGAGCGTCATCGCAGCGTCGACTGGCACTGTCCATAAACCCCAGCGTCTTGTTATTTCAGATAGCCTAGATATGAAACATTATATTGAGTTACTACTTGGGCTGAAAAGTAGTAAAGCAAAACGCACTAGGTCTGTATGTGAAGCTTTTAAGCTATTTGTATGATGATCTCATACCCTTTTATTTTTATTTATTTATTTATTTTATTATTATTTTATTTTTTTTACGTGTATTATACTTTTTTCTGTATATTCTCATTTTCTACATATTGTAGTCGATATTCAATGTTTTCTATACTATATGTTGGAAGCTACTGTCATGTTCATTGGCTGTAATAGGCCTATGACTGGCATTTAAAAAAAAGACTTGCACCGTACACAAATAAATTACAAAAGGGCCCTGAAACTCTTTTTGTAATTTATTCGTGTACAGTGCTAGTCTTTTTTTCACACATTCTGTATAAGCTAAACATTTTGAGTGAAGTGAGGAGCTTATGCACAAAATGTTGATTTTTTGTCAATTTCAAGAGCTGAAATTAAATATTATTTGAGCTGTTTAATTCGTTTTTCAACCCTACTTGGGACCTGTTTACAGAATGTTTATAACCCCGAAATGTGCGATTTTGTGGTTTTCTAGCAATAAACAATAAATAAAATTAAAAGTAAATAGACACCATTTTAAAAACTCCACAGTGTATAACATAGTTGCACATTTTGTCTAAATTAAGCTGTGCTCAGTAGGTAGGCCTATGGCCAGGGTTTGTGATTATTGACAGGGCTTTCATTTATAGGCATATTTCCAATAAATTACAGAAAATATATTTGTTTGATCCTGTTTCAGGGTAATATTGAATTAAGTTTTGAATCTTTGCAAAAATTGAATGTGATTATTTTCTTGTCTTCCTGTAGAAGACAAGAAAATGGAGTGCCCCCCCCCCTCCTTTTATTTTACGCTTTTAAAATAATAAAGTCAAGACTGTATACTGTTTGCAAACAGGCTAAAAGCAAGGCAGGGAAATCAGTGTACTTAACTGCTGTAATCAAACTGTTGATTTGCTCTAATGTCTCACTCTCAACTGAAATGTAAAAAGAAAGAAAGAAAGAAATACCAAGCACATTACAACATTAAATACTTGGGAGATTTAGAGCTTGTCACACTGATGACTGAGTGATGCACCTTGCAAACAAGGAAGTATTTATACTGATTGCTTTCTTCCCAAATAGGCTATTCTAGATTAAAAAGTTCCTGACACACATTTCTATACTTGTAATCCATTTTTCGATATTTAATGACATGCAGCTGTTCCCACAATTTATTTTTAAACTATTATTCGTCATTTTTTTGTGTGAAAATCGTTCATTTAAAACTAAATCCTGCTAAACCAATGGTTTATATAAACGATATGTTTGATCTAATCATCCAATTTCAATGAATATGCTACTGCATTCGTACAGAAATACATAGCCTTAGAATTTTATAAATTAGATTTGAGCTTTTTTCAGTTAATTTAAAAAGTGTTTTGCTCTCACTCACAAATGCATATACAATTATTCTGTAAAGTCTCTCAAATAATACAATGCAATAAAATGCATGTATATTAATTTTACAATTAAAAATTATGTTTTAAATCATTTTAAATAATCCATTTTATTTAGCAAAAACAGGACATGCACACATTTTCAATCATTTTTAGGAAGGCTCTATGCAAAACTATGCAAAAGTAGTTGAGTTTTTGGCAGGTTTGTGATGGTGCAAAGATAAACCTTTATGCGTTCAGTCGATTTTATGCTACAACCCTCAAGTCATGATGTAAATATGTCAAAACAATATTTAATGTGATATCTGTGTGATAATGACTGACCTTTGAACATAGCCTAGTAAGGGACTGCATTTCCTTCAAACTGCTCCTTCAGGTACTGTAGGACTGATCATCCAAACAGCGCTTTAAGGTTTATAACAAATATATTTACTACAATTTCAACACTGCAACATAATATTTAAAGCAATTTCTTCTATAAAAGTGATCAATACAATTAAGATTATGTCAAATTATGTCTATACCCCTACTGGAAAAATCATGTCATATCAGCTTTAGCTGTTTTTTGGAAATGTGTAGCTTATTCTTTTAGAAGTCCTAGATGGTCTACCAGCTTTAATTGGTCCAGCTAATCCATTTTCTAGATTGGACCAGCTAATGACCTCTTGTCTGTGCTAGTGTATAGCTAAAATCAGGCTATTAGGAAATGTAGACTGTTGTATGACATGATTCATGTTAGCTTATGATTAATAAACCATCAGAACATGTTTATATGGGTGACTATATCACTTATAGACTGTAAAACCATGAGATCAGTAAGCTGCAAGTCAGAACAAATCCAGTCAAAAACCAGTCATAAGTAGCACAGGTATATTTGTAGCAATAGCCAAAAATACATTGTATGGGTCAAAATTATCGATTTTTCTTTTTGTTTGATATTTCCCTCACCGTTTCAATGCTGCTCCAAACAATTCGCCAAAAAGTGTAAATGATGGTCATATACGATATGTACTGGCCTATATGCTGCAAATACATATTGCTGTCTGTGCTGAATATGTGTTCATAATATATAGCCAACCATAACAATCCGAAGGCCAGACCTGGGTTTTGTGAGCACCTTTTTATACAGTCTATGGTGAGCACACACGTTGTTGATGCAGGTGTAGACTACGCAATAAAGAAAGCGACAGGTTAGTGTGGAGGCTCAACGCACAGCGCAGTGACGCCCTCTGCCGGTCAATTAGCTGCAAGAGCGGCTCACTATGAAATAAAATGTAGCTGCTGGAAGGACACATTTTTATGACACATTTTCTGATTTTTTTAAAATGCCAAAACACTTAATAACAAGCATATAACCACAACAACCTCAAAAACAATAGAGGACAAAATACAAAAAATAATAACATTTTCTGATATTTATGGTAGCCTACAACACGTTATTTCTACATCATTTCCTTTCCTTTTTTTTAACGAAATGAAGAATGATCTTGAGATTTCATTATAAATTAATCAGCACAACTGCAGAAGGACCTCTAGAGGGCAGTATACACCAATTAATTTGTTTGCGTGAAATTGCGTCGTGTCTACGGATCATTGAATAACATCACATTTCTGTGTAGTTATGTGAATTACTTGTAAGGATTGTATGTGACATATAATGAGATACATTTCTGTTGCACAGTTGTCTAATGTTGTAACATTGCTATTCGCTATTCATTGTCAGTATGAAAATCTGATATGGCGTGACCTGTGGCACTTTGGCCTGACCATTGTCTGGATATGACCATTCCGTTAGCGATAATGTCACAGTAGACTGTATGCTCCACATAATTTAGAAACAAATGAGTAAAATGTAGACTAAAGCCTGTGCCTGCATGAGAAGTGCCAAAAAAAGACCATACTAAAGAGAGCCTGCCAGAACACGTTTAAAGGGGTCATATGATGCGATTTCAAGTTTTCCTTTCTCTTTGGAGTGTTACAAGCTGATTGTGCATAGATAAGATCCCTGAAGTTGCAAAGACTAAAGTCTCAAAACCAAAGAGATATTCTTTATCAAAGTTAAGACTCTGCCACGCCCCCCTAAAACGGCTCGTTCTAACACGCCCCCACATATCTACATCACTATGTGGAAATATTAGCATAATGCCGCCCAAATGTTCACGCAAAGAAAGAAGGCGTGGTTTCAGTAACCGCAGTTAGTGTTGAAGCAGCATGTCAGGGAGACGCTGTGTGTTTCTAGGCGAAAGCAAAAGCACTTTATTTGGCCTTCCGAAAGTAGATGCATTTAGGAATCTTTAAGATTACTTACAACAGAACAGCAATGCATTTTATGGACGACCGTTTCGTGAACCTAGGAGAGGAGGTAATTCTGACTTTGTTATGACATTCTGGCACTTCTGAATCAGCTACTGTTTTGTTATTAGTTTAAGGCTCTGACAGTCAACCTGAAAAAAACCAAAATTATGATCTTTCAGAAAAGATCCAGATCCCAGGGAACACAACACACATTTACATTAGGCACTAAGCAGATAACACAC